AATAATTAAGAAATCATTCCCTGCCATAGAGACAAAATAATATAAAAGTACTTTTTGGTTTCAACTTACCGCGCTAATTATCAATGAGCATTTGGTAAGACATATTACCTACCGACATTATAGAATACGATTTTTGTTTGCACCATTAGTTGTTATATACATTCTTTGCGTATGGTTCCTTTCGACGTAGAAATTTACTACAACTTATCAGAATTTCTTGGAAGACAGTTACTGTGTACAGCGCATAATTTTTGACTCAGATAACTATATAAATCGAATCATTTGTAGTTTGTAAAGCAAAAAAATTTTTGGTTTTTTATGAATAAAAAGCGACGACAAAAAGTGCTGCTTTCAGCAGTTTATTATTTCATCTGAAACATTTGAAGTTGTTTATAAAGGCAAAAATCAAATGACTTTTTTCAGAGTTCAACTATACTATTAAAAAAGCACTTCAAATTAATTATAACAGTTTTCATCTTTTATACAGCCAATATTGTAAAATCATAATTAATTGTACATTATGAGCTAATCAACGAGAGTATATTTCGTTACAGACATAACAAGCAAAAATCCTCTCATACAAACATTTTTTGCTTGTCATACTACTTGACTGATTTAAAGATGTCGCTTAAAAAAGTCCTGAACAAATTTTCTTTGACAATCAAGATTTTTTCAAAAAAAAAACGTCCAAAATCTAGAACAGTAAAATGCAGCAGTCGGGACGTTATTTGCTGTATTAATCTCTGTTTAAACTTTATGCTCATCAGTAAAAACAATTTCTAACTTTTTTCCTCTAAACTAATTTAAAGTCCGCTCAACAATGTTAACAGCCAAGAGTTGACTCAGTTTTAGAACTACAACAATTCTGTGACCAAAGATAACCGTATAAATGAAGCTTAAACAGCAAAACTTAATAAATAGTAACTTAATTAGCATATACGCTGGCTAAATCGTCGAACATTTTGCGACATTTTTTACCATAATGTGCTATAAATCCGTTACGATAGCAGTACCCGGTGAATACCCGTTTCATGACATCATAACACTGCATACAATCTTTACCATCCAAACAATGTTTGAGACATCGATGACGAAATATGCATGAAAATGGATCAGTAGCCTAAATGAACCGATATTACTGCTATAATTTCTCTTAAAAATTAGAGAAGCTATAATACATCAGTTTCAGCTGCAATTTTTGATCCTGTTTATCAGTTTCAGTACATTACTTGCTTAAAATGAAGCAATGATTTCTAGGCTAAAAAACCGTGTGTGTTTGGTGGAAAAGCCATAGAATTTTGGTGAATTAAATGCCTCATTCACTTTTGAAGAGATACAAAACGAGAAAAGTCTGATCACTGTGAGCTATCTAAGGAACGAGCAACCGTTTAAAGCTTTAAAACAATGACAGATAAACAATGGTTGCCAGTAATTAACTAAGTGTTATATAGCCAAAATTGAGGAATCTTCGTAACCAACAAACGCAAAACTGAAAGTTGCAGAACGCTGGCCAACAGAGTTCCATGAAAATGTTCGTTAACCGCACATAATTAGTCCACACTGCTGGTTGTTTAGCAGACCGCCGACAAAGTAGGTACCAGTAGCTGCGTTACTTCTGTCCAGTCAAAGGAACGGTCAGATTTGAGCCGACGTCATTACCGTCGTAGCCAATGTTTTTATAAATTTATATTTATGTAAATGTTTCTATAGACGCAAAAACACAGAAGTCTGAACACGTTTCTGCGTTCTTCTGTAAAAACAGGCTTGAGAAATACATAAGATCATCCAGTGGCTTCTTGCCTTCTCCTTGACGCTTGTTTTCGCCTTTATAAACAGCTGAGCGATTGAAATGCCTTTAGCTAATGGCTTTTTTGATGTACTACTTAGGAAAATTCTGAACTGTACTTTTTAAATTTTTCTCACAGTGGGTCTTCTTAGAATAATTTCAGAAACTTTCAATTTAAAATATTTTTGCATCTCAACAATAAACCTCATTCTGTTTTCTTGCCGCTTCGTTTCAAATATTTTTCCTCTTAACAGGCTTGAAGGACTAAACTTCGAGAAAATATAGTAAGGGATGGAAATTCTTCGAACTTTAGTTCCACCTTGAATGTTAAACGGTGCGCAATTAATAAAGCTGCCGTCGTTGTCTGTCAAGTGGGAAGGCTGTTTTTTATTCGTTTCCCCTTCTTTGTCGGCTCTTTCTTTCTTTTTGCTTGCCTTTTTCTCTTAGATTTTTACTCCTTCTTCGTGCAAGAAAGCCGAATTTGGCTTCAGATATTATGCATTATGTGGTATCTTGAATGACTAGCTTCAGTTAGACTTTTTTTAGTAGCAGAAACACTTACTGTCCTGTACAAGTTCATTTTATAGAAGTGTCATTTGTTGTATGACCTGTAAGCAATACTTCTAACACACTTAAAAGCGAAACCAGTTTGAGAAGTGGAGAATTGAAGGGCATCCCACTATTCTGTTCCTACTTTTACTCATCTCCTCCCCTACTTTTCCATGAATTTTTGTCTATTTAAGTATCTCTGGTAGAAAAGACAACCTCATTAAATGCAATTTACGACTCCGAATGTCTTCAAAATTACAGCATATTTAGTACAAGAAACAAAAACGCTTTCTGAAAAAAAAAAAAAAAA